TTCGGCATCTATTGTGAGTACGGCGTCGTCCGTGGTCACCACCAAGTCTTCCGAGTCAGATATGCTGCACGAGTACTACGCTGCCATCCACACCCTCCCAAAGCACATGCAGATCATGTTCTTGAGCTTCAGAAAGCCGTGGCCACATATCAAGGTATGTTCATTCACTTTTCACCTCCTGCACGTCACTTATGTTTCTGCCACCAGTGCTCTAAGTGCTTGATGGATGGTGACTGCATAATTATGCCTTCTGAGCATGGTGGGCAGGCTTGTGTTTGCTGCCAAGTGTCACACCTCAAGTGCTCATTTGTCCAACCTCCCTCCAGTATGCCTTCTTTTTCTTGATTGGAAATGCTGCCATCCTGACTCCACTCCTTTTGCGATCACAGGCATCAAATCACTTGTCGATACCAAGCAGATTCTTAGTGAGGTTCGCAGACTGGACGTTCCCAGTGCTCTGCTAGTCAAGATCTATATGCAGGAGCACGTGCGACTGGTAGTGGAGGTGACTCGCATTAGCGAGCATCTCCAGTTCTTGAAAACATTTCTGGCTGCGAATGGGAAAGCCACGTAGTCTAGAACCACCTCGATTTGTCTTTTGTGTACTCCGCATTCTCGTATACAATAGTCCACTGCATTCGTCTCTGGTGCTGTGCCGTGAATCCATTGTTTTGTGTGGCTTCAATTGGGGTTGGCTCACATTTCAGTTCCGCAATAGAAGTCCCATCTGAGTCACTCTAACCAGCTTCCTGAGAAAGCTGACTGGCTCTACCATGTGATAGAGGACAATACCGTGAGGTTTTAATGACACGTTCGCGTGTCCAAGCTTGGCCAGTTCAAAATTTTTCGCAATGGTGCCTAACTCACCTCTCTCTCTACCTCGATCTCTTAGCTCCTCAATGGGCAACCCTGCTACTCCGTCATCCTTTCAACATCCTGCGACTCCAGTCGCTTCTCCACACAAGGTATCTGTCTTCCAAGTCTTCGGTTTTTCACAGCGTTAACTTCTTTCCTTGACACCTAGGCGGCGGACCTGAAGAATGCCGTCATGGGCATTGTTTACTCTGCTTGGGAGGCATTGCGCAAGGCAGAGCCTCTCGATTCAGCAGTAGACTTCGAATCCCTCATACGCGAGTTCCTTTCTGCCTTGTGAAGTGAACACTCTGTCATTCTCACAGCTGGCTAACTCTCTCCCTTCTCTAGCATGATCTTCGTGCATTCTCGGACCCGGTGTCACAAACACGCTACACCCAGTTTTGCCAAAAGGCCCAAGTGCATCTTGACTCCTTTGTCCAACCGTCGTGGCTATCATGGTGTGAGGAGTTGATCTCGTCCAAGCAGGCTGCTGCCTTCTCGGTGACCAAGGTGCATGCATTGGACTGTGGTCCTGCCTCTGCCATCTAACGTGACCCTTCAACTCTTTCTAGGAACTGAGCCCCCCTCTGATGACTGAGGCTTCTGCTTGTATGCCTTCTGATACTGGGGAGGTCATGGCCTCTGATTCTCTGACCGCTTCTACCGGTGCCGATGACTCCCTTCCCACTGCTGTTCCAACATCTGCTTCTGTAGTAGCCGCACCTGCCGTGGCTCCTGCTGCTCAAGGTGTCCCTGTCCTGAAGTTCAAGTTCCAGGCTCATGCGGCAAACCCGGTCACTATCGACCCTCCTTCTGACTCCGATACTGCGGCCATGGAGGTCGACATTCTGCTTGCTATCATGGTTGCCAAACCTCCCTCTGCACCAGTCTCCGAGACCATCAAGCTTTCCAGTAACGATGAGGATGACAGCGATAGCGATGAGGTTGAGTACATGGGTGGCACAATGCCTAACTTGTCTCCAGCTCATCCGAAGAAAGGCAAGGGACGTGGTCGCAAACCTGCAAAGCCATCCGGCATGACCGCCGCCTTTGAGGATCAATATGTGCGCATGCCTGTCCGCACCTTTCGCGATCGCTCCCTTCCACTGATGTACCTCCCGTTGTGGCAAAAGCTCTCCATCATGTGCTTGGTAAGTCATCATGCGACTTCTTCATTGCCTATCGCTAACTCTCCCTTTCTAGTGTCGCTATTGCCTTCTTTTCAACAAGGTGTCTCGTACTTGCATGCTAAGTGAGTTCCATCCTAAATGCCACAAATGTCACCATGACCACAAGGCCTGCAAGTGGTGGATGCACAATACTGTCCCTGACGTTGACGATGCCGACGGATGGCTTTCGCTAAAGAAGCTGTACCATCTGAGGAAATGGCCACTGCCCAAGATGCCGGATGCCAAGTTGATTGTGAAGGCATCCAGTCACCAGGTTGACTACGATGAGCAGATGCATAATGCGAACACTGCTGGTAGCGATTACGCTGCCGAGCTCGAGCTTCCTCTGGATACGCTGATCGATGAGTATGAGGCTGCACTTGCTCCGGCCCCACACCTCCGTGAGTCTTCCGCGGTCTCATTTCGTTCCTGGCAAACTGACCTCCCTCCAGGTCCAGCCCATACCTTACCTGACATGCCTGAGCCTGATGTTGAGTCTGACACTGAAGGTGCACCTAAGGTTGTTACCATCAAGCAAGAGAAGGGCACCGCCGGGCCTTCTCGTCGTAAGCTGGCGATTCCTTCGCC